ACCGCCCGCCACCGACTCTTCTCGATGAGAACGGTGACGTCCACTATCACGTGGAACGATGTCGTCACCAGGGTCAAACCCAATATCTGGTGAGGAGGCGGAGATATCCCGACCCGAAAACTCGTGAGATTGAGAAGCCACTTCGGCAAGATTGCCCAGACGCCGTTGGCGCTTTTGATCAGGGCGCCACGCGACATCATACGCCCCGCGCTTTCCGGCAATAGCCAGAGATGTAGACGGGCCATGAGCTGAGCTCATGCAGTAAATCTGAGCTCTTGTGGTCGAAGACAAAGATCTCGTGGGAACGTTAGGGGTTGTCCCATACGTCGTAAGGCAACAATCGAAGGAAGTCGACGGAGTGTTTTGAGTTTGGCAAACACAAATCGGAGGTGTCGCTCCACATGCACGTCCACTTTCTTGTGGCTCAACTGTAGATTATACAGTGAGTAAAGTTTTCGGTGCCGTTGTACCCATCGCTCAAAAAGCGCTTCGTCATCTGTAGTACTTTCGCCAGAGACGAGTACTACAGGTATTGTCCGCAATGCGGATACCAGAGGGTCACCTCGTTGAGCAATCAGACGAGTGCGATAATTGCTTAACGAAGTTTCTTGTGGAACCAAGAAACAAGCTCGAAAATATTTCCGTTTGGCAAGCTCATCTTTCTTTCTGGCCGGGAGATCGATGATGTAGAGGCATAACGATCGAGTTACCGCGTTGTTCGCTTCCACAGTGGGATCCGCTGGGCGGAAGCCATATTTTACACGCGAGTCAATGATCGGCCGTGGTTGGGCGCGCATCAGAGCCGCCTATCGGGCAGCTTCTAGCTGCCATCTCTGTTCCCTGTCGAGTTTATTGGTGACAACACCACGTTCCTCAGTTGACGAGAAGTCAGGGAACAGACACAGGGTCGGTCAGCAAGGTGTAAGCAGGGCTCGTATCACGCCGCTGGCGCAGCTCGGCATCCCATGCGAGGAAAGAAGTATCAGACTTGTAGTCGACCAGCTCCCATCCTCAACGAGGTCACTCGTCACTGAAAGCGTGCGCGGAGCGCGACGCTCGTGCTCATCGAGCCTAGGATGAACATCCTTCGGTGTCGCGGACTCTCTGTCCGACGTTGCACCGCGTGCAGGAGACAAAGTTGGGCTCTGCTGTGTTCACTGTTAATACCAGAGAGACTTGGTGAATTCAGTATACTTATCACTGGGTTCAATGAGCACGAAAGTTGTTTAGTTTCAACAAACCAAGTTGCAGTGTCTAGCGGACACGCTAGCCTCTTTGAGGCAAAAATCAATTCTAACTGTAAATGTTCTCAATCTGAATGTAACGAAATTACACGTACCCTGGTTACAGGGGGGTGTGCCACACGAGATGGACATGGGTTGGCTGCACCCAAATATGAATACGGAACGGGGCTGGATAACCAGTATTTATGCATGTGTTTCGATTTTACTATATATAGGAAAATTTATACATTTAAAATTTGGCGGTTTAGCCGCAAATATAAATAAATAAAAATCAGTTTTGAACTTAAAGTAAAGAGTTCATTAGCCTTAGTTAAGGCACTAGCTCCTCCGTGAGGTAGTGGATTGCGATCCGCTACACTCGATGTAGAGAACGAAAGGTCGGTGACCTAGATTACGCTTCCTTAAAGCGCAAAGCTGCGGTAGCCCCGCTGCAACTTCGGTAGAACTGCATAGATGGCTTAAACAGTTTTGATCAAAAGGATCAAGATTCTTAGCGTCGTCTTGCGCATCGCGCTTCTCGGCAAAAGCCCTGGAAGCCGGAGGGCCATGAGCTGCTGTGGTCGTAGACTCACCCGTGAGAAACCGCGGATCTCGCGGGAGCGTTGTGGATAGTTTCATATGCCACACGCGACTAAGTAGTCGGAATTGCGCCTTAAATTTGACAACCCAATTATAAGATGGCGCTTAACGCGCACGATCATTTCCTTGTGGCTTGGCTGTAAGGTAGACAGCGAAGACAGTTTCCGGTGCCGCTGCACAATCGCTCAAAGAGTATATCATCTGCAGCGGTTTCGCCAGGGTCGGCCACCACTGGGTGGTCCGCATTGCGGGAACAAGAGCACGAACGTTTGAGCTTGAAGTCGAGCGCGGTACCGATCCATTAGGATTTTTTGGGGTACCAAAAAGCGAGCTTGGAGAGCTGTCACCTGGTCAAGAGCAGCT